AGTGTTCCCGTGGGGAGTTTCCTATCTCTGTCTTTGATACCTCCCAAGCTGGCCTTTCCTCCTCCCTCTCGTGGCCTCATTGTGGGTGGCCTCCAAAGGGCATGCAAGGCCCTGGGCCTGCTGTTTAGCCCTATCTGCAGCCACTTCCTGGGGCACATGTCTTCTCACATTTCTTTAGCTCCTGTGACACACAGACACATCTATATTTGGTGCTCTAGTCCTGGATTTCACATTACTTTCCATAACTGGTTCTGGGATATTTCTTTATGTGAATATGCTTAGCTCAGCCAGAAATCAAAATTGGGATTCATCTTTTTTTTTTCCTGAAAATCTGAAGTTTTTCTCTACACCTAGTTCCCTCAGTACTTCTGTAGTCTCCCCATCCTCCAGACTCAAAATGTCATGTCACCAAAGGCTGAGGGGGAGGTAGAAATGGAGAGTTAGTGTTTAATGGGTATAGTGTTTCAGTTTGGGAAGATGAAAAAGTTCAGCAGCAATGTGAATGTACTTAATGTCACTGGACCACTTTAAAATAGTTATTAACTATTTCTCCTCTTTCTCCAAGCAGCTTTATGATTAATAGTTAAAATAGTTAAAGTGGTAAATTGCATGTTATATATATTTTACTATAATTTATAAAACATGAAACAAAAACTTTCATGTTATCTTCAACCCATGGCTTCTATGCTCTCTCCTCCCCAGCTCACCTTGTTACCAGGTCATGCTGATTTTTTACTTAGTTGAGGTTCCTCAAACTTTCACATCCTCTAGAATCACTAGGGAAACTTGTTAAGAGCTATCAGTTCCTGAGCACAACTCCACTCTTTAGTCTGAGAGTTAGGCCTGAAATTTGCATTTATAGAAACCTGATGCAGACCAGCCACACTTGGAGAAATACACTTTTGTTGTCTTTTGACTTTATTCCTTTGTCTCCTTTCCACCACCCTGTCCTGGCTGCCTCTCATCACCTCACACCTGGATTACAGCAACAGCTGGCCTGCCTTCAGCTAGCCTTTCTCTGTTACAGCCCCTCCAGCTGTCAAGAACCATGTTCTGAAAATATTTTTGGCATTGCATCACTTTCCTGCTCAGAAGTCTACCAGAGTTCCCTCAGACTTATTAAATCCTATCTCAATTCATTTGGTGGGGATCCAACCAGGTTGACCTCCCATTCTCCCTCTTTCTTCCTTGTTCACTCTCATCCCTCTAGGCTCATTGGCCATTTTAAATCTTGCCAGCCTCCCTGCTAGTTTGGAATGGTTTCCTTTCCACCTTTTCCTTCTTGCCACTAGAACACTTAACTAGTCCAAAAGAAATTATGAAAACTATTGTGATTATCCATGCTTTTTCTCAATGCATTTTATCCCTTCCCACAAGTCCTAGTTCTTCTATTAGCTGGATGACTTTGGGCAAATTGTTTCACCTCTCAGTGCCTTGGTGTTCTCATTTTTCTCCTCTGTACTATGAGGATCTTAATGGAATATCCTCGTAGGTTTGTGGAGAACATTAAAAGAGGCAATAGATGTAAAAGGGCTTAGAACAATGTCTGACACAAAGTAAGTGTCATGTAACTGTTAGCTATTATTATTAATGATTGTTATTATGGCTTCTTCCAGTCAGCTCTTCCCTGGAAACCACTTCTGTTTCGAATAGCTAACTGATTGAGTTCTCTGTCAAACCTTGCCTGATCTAGCAGAGGTAGTTACATAATTTGGGTTCCAACAAGCTTCTCTACATGAGACAACCTGAGGAACTGGGCTAAGTACAATGTTCTAATTATGTCCATTAATTTCTTATCAACTAGGAGGAGATGAGGAGAGATTTGAAAGCAAGATTTTCCCTAGATAAGTAGATGATATTGGGATAACTTCAAAACACCCTAAAGGACAGTGGATTGTGTTTTCTTTTCTGTGGTCTTTCTCAAATCCTCCTTACACCCCAGATCCTAGCGGCCCTTCTTCCTCATTTGCTCACTTCCTGGGTTCCTTATAAGACCCCAAGGGATCATCTTCCTCCATGATAGTACCAAGCCTGAGAGCCTTGCACCCTGTACTCCAGCAGTCCTTGTCTATAAACCATCTATTGCCCACATTTCTGTTTCACTTTTCAAATCAACCTCTATGCTTTTGTGGCAAATGTAATATATTCATTTAAAAGCCCCCAATGGATTCACAGCTAATGTTTGTCATTATGTGTTTATTTTTTCTCTCTCAGTGAATACTAAAAGTTAAATACTATCAGGTTGGGGGAGATATGAAAATATATCTGACATTTAAAACGGCTCCTATTGGTCACCCAGGCTGGGGACCACTGTCCTATGGAATACAAGAGCTCTGTGGGAGTAGCACCAAACTCTCTGGCTCTTAGTTTTCTTGTCTGTCAAATGGAGATACATCATAACTGCCTCTTTTTCTAAGGGCAGGAAACAAAATGTTCCTGTTCATAAGAAGGCGTGTGTAGTGGTGCTCTTGTGATTCTTGTTGACATGTGAGGAGGGCTGCTGTGAGGATCAGATGAGATAATAGATAGGAGGGGACACAAAGAGGGGGCATGCCCAGGCAGGGGAACATTATTGCTGCTATTGCTCTTGTTCTTTTCCTTGTTCTGAGTCCAGCTGGACCAGCTAAGCCCAGAAACCGTGAATCTCTTTCCAGGAGCACTGTGTTCTTTTGCCTTTCCCCACCCCTACTTGTTTTTCTGTGGGACGACAAAAAAAGAGCTGATCCTATATGAGACTAACAAACAGCCACAAAGTTCCTCTTATCTAGTCTAACAACTGCTATGGCCTCCCAAGTGGCAGTGTTTGTCTCTGTTTACTTGGGGTTGCCTAGGAAACGGAGTTGTTCTCTCTTTCCCACTATGTGACTGTGGGCAAGTTTTTCCCCTTTCTTGTAAGGAAGGGCTGCATCACCAGAGATGGCTGTGTGCTTGCTGGGCCAGTTTCTGAGTTGTTTAGTGTGGTTTTTTTTTTTTTTTTTTCATCTTTTGGCTTTTGTTTTTGAGAGGTTACCAAACAGGGGTTTGTAAAGTTCTGAAGAAGAGTTTTGGTGACTAGGAATTAAATTTGGGAAGTCTACAGAGGACCTAAAGAGTCAAAAGGTCCCTCAGCTCATCTTGAAAGGAGGGAAGGGGGTTATCGGGGTCGGGGGGAAACAGTCAAGGTTGGGGGTAACTGACTGATCCAAAGTTTGTATTCATTTTAGCAGCTGTGAAATCTGAAAACCATGACCAAATTGTAGACAATGAAGTTAGCATCATGAACAGAATGATTAGGAGCAGCTGCTAAAATTGGGATTTGAGAGGCCACCAAGCACGGGTTTGTAAAGTTCTGAAGAAGAGTTTTGGTCATTAGGACAGAACAGGCCAACATGTATAAGCTTTACAGCAAAGGAAGCATGGCATTTTGAGTATATTTAGGCTATGATTGGCACAAAGGAGGGGCCCAAGACATCTTGATATTTGAGGTTTGTGGTACAGGAAAATCAAGGAGTGTGGTCAATTTCAAGTGGCAAAGGATTAGGTATCCTATCTAATAAAAGAGTAATATGCAAATTGACTGTCACTCCAACACACAAGGTGGCTGCCCCCATGTGGACACAAGATGACCACAAGATGGCCAGCAGGGGAGGGCAATTGGGGGCCACCAAGCCTGTAGGGGAAGGCAGTGAGGGGTGACCAGGCTGGCAGAGCAGGGAAGTTGGGGGTGACCAGGCCTGCAGGGAAGGGCAGTTGGGGGGGACCCAGGCCTGCAGGGGAGGGAAGTTGGGGGTGACTGGGTCTGCAGGGAAGGGCAGTTTGGGAGGGACCAGGCCAGCAAGGGAGGGCAGCTAGGGGCAATCAGGCTGGCAGGGGATCCATTAGGAGGTGATCAGGCTGGCATGCAGAAGTAGTTAGGGGCAATTAGGAAGCCAGGCAGGTGAGCAGTTGGGAGCCAGGAGTCCTGGATTGTGAGAGGGATGTCTGACTGCCCGTTTAGGTCTGATCCTACTGGGATCAGGCCTAAACGAGCAGTCGACATCCCTTGAGGGGTCCCAGATTGGAGAAGGTGTGGGCTGGACTGAGGGACACCCCCCCCCCCATGTGCGAATTTTGTGCACCGGGCCTGTAGAATATGCTATAGGACACTAAGATTGAATTGGTCGATCAAATAGGGGTGATAGCCTCTGCTGAGAACACGTTGAGCCTAGAACACAGCTCAGGGTCCTGGTGAGGTTGTGGTGGACACCAAATGCTCACTGGAGGGCTCTCAGAGAAATGGCAGGACTCTGGATGCCCGAGACATGGGGCCGGGGAAAAGGAGATGGGTGAGGATGAACTTCAAAGAGAGTCAGAGGAGGGAAGCTGGAGTCAGGATCCTTAGACTTGGTCCTGCACATGCAACTCGTAAGCAAACTTCCAGCAGTGACAAGTGAAGCAGCAGGGACTGAGAACATCTTTCCTTGGCTACCACCTGCATTCTGTTTCCTTTTCTAAGGTCCTCTTAGCTCTTCTGCCAATGTGAAGGGTCTCATGTAGATTGGTATTAAGGTGAATGCATCAAATGATCCTGATGTTTTCAGAAGAGGGAAGAAGCTTACTAATGTTCATTTGGTTCCTTTCTTCTTACTCACGTGTATAACCTACCCTTTTCTTTTAGGCCTTTTGAGATATTATCCCTCCCAGGTTATCCCTCTAGCTGAGGTTGTGTTTTAGTAGTCACCTTGCTACTCACTTTAAAGATGTTATATGAAAGCAGGAGCAGGACAGAGAGGGATGGAGTGGGGTTGAGTCCCAATTTACCATAGCAGCTGTGTGACTTTGGACAAGGCACTTAAATTGGCTAAATCTCAGCTTCCTCATCAATACAATGTGGGTATCGTGTTAGTTGCACAGGATCATGGAGGTAGCATTGGCCTGCCATTTAGGAGATGCTCATGATGATTAGTGAATCAGGAAAGCTGTGCTCCCAAACATGAGGGGCCTTTACCACCCACTCCATTTATACTCAGTCAGACACCAGGTTTATTTTTAGAAAAAAAGAGCAAAGTTTATTGAAATTTCAAGCTACATTTGAGAAATCAAAATCCAAATCCTGGAGACATACATCAGGATAAGGTGTCAGAAAGTGGAAAGTATTCACTGCCACAGAACATCCTAGAGACAAGCCCCCTGAGCACATCACCTAGGCACCATCACGTCAAAGCCATTGCCTTGTTTATCCCTTGTCCACAAAAGGACACCAGCAAGCCAATTGTTCTCTTCACTTGAAAGTTTTCCACAAACATTTAAAAAAGGTTTTGAATAACAATGTGAAGTCCCAGCTGATCTTTTCTCAACCCCATTCTATGTAGTCAGCACCAGTGAATGGTGGGTTTGGCATTCAAAAGAGGACCTCACATGTCTTCAGAGGGCAAGGATTGCAGCAGCAAGGCATCTGTGGCCACATTCAGAGACTGGCCCTCTCCCTGCTTTTACTTTTTAGTCTTACTTAACCTAAAGGACAAACTGGATCAATTTGGTAAATGAACACAGTCAAAGAATTAGCCTTAAGAGATAAGGAACTGGTCAATACTCCCAAAGCTGTTTAGGCCCTTCAAAATGTAGGTGTATGTATATATGTATACATCACTACACTAAGATATAGATCTAGCCCTATGGGTATATATACGCATGTATGGCTATATAGAAAAACTATGCCATTACTAACCAAACAGAACTTTGTAGGCAGTCATCCCAAAGCTGTAATCCCACACTGGGCTGTGCACAAAGCCATGCATTATACCATATTAACCGACAGAAGGCTGACTTGGCTCAATCTCTCCCATCTGTGGCCCTGCTTTGGCGAGGCAGGGGATAAGAGAGAGGGTGCCTCTGCTTCAAACACAAGTGGCTTCTTCATAGGAACAGTCGTTGTCAGGTGAAGCTGTTAAAGATGTCCATGGAAATGAAAAGCAGATCCCCTTATACTTTCAGGAGCAAACTGGCATCACATATCAAACTACCTTTCTCCTTTGCCAGTCACAGCAAAGTTGCCCGGGCCCTGGGAGCCCCCAGGGCGTGGTGGCATTAGAGGCTCACTGCCTGGGGGTGACGAGGCCCCAGGCAACTCAGCCTCCAAAGACCTGCTCTTTGTCAGGGGTCTGTCACTGGAGTGGACCCAGGTGGCCATGTCCTTGGGACATCTCTTGGCACCAGCTATGCTAGGTGTAAAGTTCTCCACGTGAGATGACGCTTGGGGAGCCAAAAACAAACTGGGAAGAACTAGGTAGAGCAAGTTTAGTGGCTCTGCCCACCCTGAGGACAGAGCCACTTACACTGCAGAACCATCAGGGGCCTCAGGTAATTGTGAGGCTTCAGGAGCTGGCTCTTCAGGGCTCAGACAGGACTGGAACTTCTCCAGCTGCTCTGGGCTGGCCAGAGTCTTCAAGAGGGTGTTCTCACGCTCCAGCTGGGAGTTCTTCTCCACCAGCTCTCGGATCTGCTCCTTCAGGATCTCCACCTCCTCTCTCACAGCATACATCAGATGATTCTTCACCAGATCCTGTCACAGAGGAAATCACAACAAAGCCATTTGTTAGCCATCATGGCTCCTCAACAGCACTTTCATCTTGCCATCAAGGTGCCTGTGCTGTCTGTTATGCCACCTACCTCCAACCTTCCTTCAGCAACCCCTCAGCGCGCTGGCCCTGCAGCCCTATTCTTCTCGCACCCTTCTCCAAAGCACCTAAATGCTTGCTTAGGAGACCTGCATGATCAAGGCAACTCCTGATTTGGGAGCCCAGTTTTGAGCCACACAGTATCCCTCCTGCAAGTTTCTAATGACTTTCAAAGCTGGCTGCTTAGGAGCATTTTGGGTGAGAATTCTGCTGGTTGCTGGTGGTTGGCTATATCCCCATTTCCACATAAGTTCTGGCTACTGGCCCAGATCCCAGGGAGGACCTTCAATGTACCCCACACTGTTGTTTTTGTTTGTTGCTTTATGCATCTTCTCCAAGACAATAAAAGTGGCAATTTTGGAGTCTCCTCCTCTCCACATGACCCAGCACACTGAATTGCAGTTGTCCAAAAGTCTGATGTGACAAGACACTTGCCCTGGGGAAAAGTACCTGATTGCTGTATCCTCTCTGAATTTGATTACTACACTAGGGTCCTGGAACTGTGTCATTAGGCTCCAGGGCACAATTAAGTGGTTTCTAACTGAACGCCTTAACCCCCTGCAGCCCTTATGACTGCTAGGTGGTGTATGATCTCTGCCTGGTAAAGGGAGGGGTGAGGAGTGGGGTGCTTTGTTTCCTGTCCCCTCCCAACTCCTGACCCCAACCCAGACTCTGCAGAGGCACTGCAGTGCGGCTGCAGCATCCAATGAGCTCCGGTTCCTGCCAAATGCGAGATGCAGAATAAATATAAGTGTCTGAGCTCATTGCCCTGCAGTGGGCCTAGGAGGGAGCCAGAGACTGCTACAAAGAACCAGGATGGGTGAGAAAGGAAGAAAGGAAGGGGCCCATCCAGGAGGGTAGACTGGAAATGCCCTCAAAGGTGCCAAGCTAATGGGACTCTATTTAAGACCTGCAAGGGGATAGAAGGCAGGCGGTTGGTTTCTTGGCTAATGGCTTTTGCACCCACCCCCCTCAGTCATGCCCAGTTATATAAGCAGCAGCTAGGTCTGGGGATGGGAATGACGCAGTGATGCCACTCACCATGGCCTGCTCAATCTTGTTGTCTAAGGCCACCACACTGGCTCCAGAGGCACTGTCAAGACAAAAAGCAAAGCAACCGTGTTAACCACCTCCTTTCCACTTTGAGTACCTGGTAGCTGTGGCCAAAGTCCTCCATCCGCCCCAGCTCTTCTGTCCTGCTTCCCTGGTCCGAATTTACGGGCACTTTGTCCCCAGGTCCGTCTTGGCCACTGCAGGAAGCTGCACCTCCCCACCCAGGCTGTTTCCCTGCCGCCACCGCCCAGAGCTCAGCCTGCAGCCGCGCTCGGGTCCTGGGGCACATGGACCAGCATGGCCGGTTCGCTAGCTTGGGCGACAGGCAAACAATGGGGCGTGCGACCCCTGGAGTTCCCTGCCGTAGGGCCCTTTAGGCTCTGACCCAGAAGGTCCCAAGTAAACCTACCGAGCTCCGAGCTCCGAAGCTAGCTAGGAATTCCTCCTGGGCTTGGAAGCTTCCGGCCTGCTCCCCAGTGGCGCCCAGAGCACAGCCAGCCCCCTGCCCAGCCCTGCTCGCCGCCTCTCAGCCTCAGGCTCCCGCTGCAGCAGCTGTTCTCACGACGCAGGGGCGCAGGGGCCGCAGGGACGCACCAAAGGCGGATCCCGGCGCGGCAGTGACAACCCCCCTCCGCATACCCACCCCCGCCCCTTCCCAGGATGCTGCACCGCGGGGAACCGGGACTAACGCGCAGCCAGCTCCGAGATCCCGCTCTCAGCTCAGCTTCCGCCGGTGCCCGCTAGGGAGCTTCGGCCAGTAGTTTACCTGTTATCCAGCTTAACGGAAACCACATCTCCTCCAAGCAGGGAAGAGAAGAAGGAGATGTTGAAATTGTGCAGCTGATAGACAGCCACCTCCATGGGGGTCTGATACATTTCGGTGTTCATGGCTGGGCTGCAGGGAGCTGGGGCGGCTGGGCTGTCAGAGGAGCTGCTGGCGCGCCGCTGGGACCTGGACTCTGGGCGGCTGACCCTGGGGCTAGGAGTGGGGCAAATGCTGCCGCCGAGAGGACCTAAAGCCAGGCAAGCACTCCGGACTTGAAGGGAAGTGGCTCGATGGGTGTCACCTAGGGTGTCACAAACTCCACGGCCGCTAGTCCAACCCAGACTCGGAGATATTTCGGCTCCTGCTTCTTTATATAGGAGGAGCCGGCTGCGTCACATGGCGTCAGGAGTCATGCAAATGAGTTGTGTACGGGGCTTTGTGGCCCAGTGAAACCACATCCGCTCCCTGAACCTGAGGCTGGGACTGTAAACAGTTCAGCACTTTCTTGTGCCAACTGGCATCTCCAACGAGGGTTCTGGAGATCAGTAAAAACCAAATTGGAACTGATTTCTTAGAGAAATTAATACAAATGCCCTAACAGTAGATAGAAAGCGTGCAGTAGAGGGCGGTGCTGGTTTTAAAAACTCTTCTTCAGGGGTCAGCCAGGATATCCCCAAGGCTTTGCAATGCTATCACACACCACACTCCCTAGGCACCCACCCTAACCACGAGGAGCCTTGCCTTCTTCCCATTGCCTGCCTTCTCAGTCTCTCTTTTTCCCACATAGTTTGTCACCCGCATGTCCCTTCAACCAGTGGGCTTGCTGACCTGCACCAACGCTAGCACCTATCCACTCAGCTCCTCCTCTGGATATGCCTGTCTGTGTACCGACACGTGCACAGACAGCTTGTGACCTAAATGTGACATGCATGGGATGTGTGCGCACATCTGAGCTAATCTGTGCATGCTAATTTGCCTGTGTGGAGGAGAAAGTGTCCAGGAGCTCAGATGAGTAGGAGGGAAACATGTACAGGGAGCACCTGGAAACCAGTTGGGTGACAGAGGATGCGAGAGGAAATGGTAGGGGAGTGGACACTGGAATGACCACAAGATGCCAGACTTTTTCTCTTTGGTTTCCACACCCTATTCTGCATTCAACATTCAACATTATCCATGATTTCATGTTCATATTTTTAAAAACAATATTCTGTTACTTTCCTATAAACAGAAAAGGACAGACAGCAAAACTACAAACCAAGACTATATGCACAAACCATCCAGGAAAACACCTGTGATGGGTCCAGCCATACATAGGATTAGAGGGCACTTCAGGCACAAATTCCAAGTCACAAGGTAAATGAGTTTATTGTTGCCTACTAAGAGGTATATATGTTCCCATCAAACTTTATTTTCATCTTTTCAGGCTCAATCTTAAAAAAAAAAAAAAAAAGAGACATCAGAGGCTTGAGGTCCTTTTCTCCAGCTCTTTCCTAAGCGAGGCCACCTTGTGGACACACACAGAATTGCAGTCAGAAGAAGTAACCAGGACAGAACAAGAACAGGTAATGCAACTGAGAATATTATTTACAACAACTCAGGGCCATAAGGAGAACATTGAGTTCCACCATACATACAATAGTTTGATTGAGGTTAGGGCCAATAGTCATGTATCAGTTTGTGACTCAGGCTGTGGTCCAAGGAAATACCTTAATGCAATCTTGCTGTTGGAAAAATACTGGGACTCTTATCAGCAAAAAAGGTAATTATTATTTGCTTCAGGATATTTCTCCTAACCAGGTGCCTGGCACTGACATCCTTGTCAACCCCCCATCCCAGGAAGCACAGTCTGAAGGCCTTTATTTTCTCCAGGCTGCCAGGACAGATGTCACAAAATAGCCAATATAATTTACTATGACGTGGGGCTCCCATTGGACCCGACTAGTGGCATAGTATGTGCACAAGGGCCATTCTGTTTGCAACAGGATGAGAAATAGAATTATTCAAGTAAACCTACTACACTAGCCAGAGATGGTGTATTTCTTCACCTCAGTTTAGGTGGGAGACAATCCCAGACTCAGGATATTATGTTACAGTTAGGTCACAAGCTGTCTGAACATGGTGTTTGCACTTAGAACCTTGTGTAGTAGGCAGAACAAAGTCCAGACTATATTTATAAGTCATTAAGAACATTAGCTAAGGAAAACAACCTCTTAAATCATGAGCTTAATTGATATTGGAATGAATTTTCTGATATATTAGTCTGTCTTCTGTGTTACATAGAGCTTTCTTAATCCAGAAAGAGTCTGTGAATTGACTTTTCATCAGTTTGTAAATTTTTCCTAAACTAACTGTTGCTACTCACCCCAAGATTCCAAGGGAGAGATGAAAAGGGAGAGATAAATAAGCTATGTTGGCAGGAAAAAAACACACACACACAAAAAAACACCACCAGGACGAGGACACAGGACAGAAGAAAAAACAGCTCCTTTAGCGGGGACTCCCTTACATTGAGATGGAGGTAGAGAAATCCAGGTAGTTTGGGGAGGAAAAAGGAAAGAGGTTAAGTTTGCTAGCTAGGCTGTATTTGAATTATACATTAATTATACTTCAATTAAAAATAAGCTGAGTTTGAGACCCACTGACAATAACAGCTAGTATAACTGAGCAGCAGCATCTATGGGCCAGACACTGTCTGGATATGCCACAAACCCTGCAGAGTAGGCACTGTCACCATTTTACAATGAAAAGAAACTATGGCGATGAGGGTCTGAGAGCCTTCCTTGCCCAAGATAGTACAGCTAGTAAATTGCAGAGCCCTGACTTAGAGACCTTGTTCCTACTACATTTACTTATGAGGCAGGGATAGGTTTGTTGAATGAGTAATTCCAGGTAGCTGGGGGTTGGTTTGGAGGTGCGAGGAAAGTGGTGAGACGTAAGAAAGGGTGAGGGGCAGGAGAAATGCCCTGGGACTCCAGCAGCAGTATTAGAGAGCGGTCCAGAGCCTGACTTTGAGCTCTGTGAGCACAGCCAGTTTTTCTGGCACTCGTGGCAGGAGAGGGCAGTATCAGGGGACAGGAAAAATATCAAAAGTGTCCAATTTTTTTAAAATATGAGGGCTGTGCTTATCCACATCATTTTGAAAGGCAGCTACACAGCCATCAAAGAAAGCTCTCTCTGTCTGGGGAATTGAAAACATTAATCCAACCAGGTGGCTTGCAGAATGGAATATGTAGTCCTGGGGTATACAATATCCCAAATAATGTGTGGTGTCTTGGAGTAATCTGCACAGTTCAGTCTAACATCCAGTTCCTAGGGCCCCATGAATTGCACCCTAATTAACTCCCTTTATTTCTATTCTTGCTGTGCTCAGATTTTAAGAGAATGAAGCCAATGATAAGAAAACAAGCTCATGTCAAGGATTTAGTTTAAAAATCAACTTTGAAAGGATGTCCTAGGTTCAGCCCACACTCAGCCAATCTCATATCCCCTCTACACTTTTGATTCGCCTGTCACCAGCCAAGTGAGTTGGCACTTTATAATCCTCCCTTATCCAACAGTGGCTGTATCCCAGGACCCCAGGACTTGCTAAGGGAAAACACAGACATAAGTATCCCTGTAGAAAGATTTTCAAATAAGGGCAGGTGGGGGGATGGATGAGAAGTAGGAAGAACCCAAAAGGTTTTCTGCTGAACCCTCAGCACACCAGAAAATTCCTCTGTCCAAAATAGCTGTGTCAGATTTTGCAGTAAGTGGAAGCTTGCCATGTGAGATATCTATTATCTGATCTAACTTTTCTGAGTCAAGTGCTGATCCCTGAGGCTCTCAGCAGTCCTTGTGTCCTATGGGCTTTGAGGTAGGCCCCAGGCAGAAAATAGTGGATTATGAATTCAATAGCCCAACAACTTTATGTAAAAGTTTCCAAAATCCCTTTCTCCCATCCTACATTTACAAGGTAGGCTGAACCAGCACAGCAAGAGCACTTAGCTTATGAGCCAGGTCCTCTGCCGGCTCTCAGTTATTGCCCTACAGCCATGGGATTCTGCAATTACCTAGTAAACAGATATAACTGACCCTCCCTCTCTCAGGGACAGCCTTCTAGATGGAAGTTGGCATAATGAGGACGGAGGCGACTTCCTCCATTTCAGGAGGCCCTGCACGCCAACTTTGAGCTGGAAGAAGTATCTTATTATTCCCTCTGGTCTGTTCCACTTCAAAGCCAGACTCTCTAGGACAAGAGCCCTTCCTACTTCTGGTTCCCAGAGGACAGTGGGACGGAGACTGGACAGTCTGGACTGCAGAACCCGTGGGCAGGATCTCAGCAAGCTGCCAAGAGGTGGGAAGCAGACTCAGGGTGGGGGTGGTAGGTTGGGGGTGGCGATGAGGGGGAACATCTCACTTCCCTTTTTGTCACACTTGAAGCATTGTGTACCATGCAGCCCAAAGGAAACTATTTATAGGCAAGTCTTCCTTATTTTCTACAGGGAATGTTCCACCCAAAGATTCAGCAATGTTGCCAGCAAAACACAGGGTCTAGTGTCAGGAGAAGTGGAAAAAGACACGATGAAAGAGGTGCAGGACAAGCCACAAAGCAAATACTGGGTTAGGAACTGGAAAATGAAATAAAAAAGATATTGAGCACAGGAGCGTTAGAACAGTTAATGGGACAGGGAACGGCTGCAAAACAGCCCTCCCATTTACTCTTCCACAGAAACCCCCTTCCGGAGCAAGGTCTGTCTACTTCTAATTACTTACTTGTCCCCCTTTTTTAAAGAGGCTGGGGGAATAAGGAGGATGAAATGCCACCCTTAAATCTGTCCTTGCTTCTCTCTTCCCTCTTCCCCTCTGTTTCCACTCCAGTGTGGAAGACTATAGAGATGAAGGGCGCTGCAACTTACATCGTGACTTTGGCTTCATGGAAAATCCCCAGACTCCAGAAGGAGGGAGGCAAGAAGGAAAGATAGTGACAGAGAAATTACCTTATCCTCTGTGTCCCTGTAGAAAGATTTTCAAACAAGGGCAGGTGGGGGGATGAATGAGAAGTAGGAAGAACCCAAAAGGTTTTCTGCTGAACCCTCAGCACACCAGAAAATTCCTCTGTCCAAAATAGCTGTGTCAGATTTTGCAGTAAGTGGAAGCTATCTATTATCTGATCTAACTTTTGTTAATATCCCTGCATGGCCATGGCCCAGAATCCCGACTTTTTGGGACAGGAAAATGGAGAAGAGGTTGCGGACACAGATGGTAAAGGTGATGGTAGGAGCTCAAGGAGAGTCCTGATGGAGATGGACACATGCTCTTGGAAAAGCAACTGTAGTAACCAATTTGGGCCAAGCTCTGGCATTAAATGAGGGCAGGAGCAATGAATTGTGCCTTTCAGTTCCCCCCTAGACAGGATCCCATGTGAGTTTCACAAATAATCCCTTGAGTGACATTGGGGATGACAGGCAAAACCAAAACTCATTTTGACAAGGTGTTCTATTCCACTTACCCTCAGTCTGAGAAATCAAAAAGCACTCTTGTCAAATCACCTGCATCACCCCAACTTTGGTAGCTAACTAACTATGGGTGGAAGCGGTTTGTCCTGGTTTCTCAGCAAGACTGGAAGTATTGACAGTGTTATCCAGTGGATCTTACGTTTCATGAACCTTGTGTCAATATTTATGCCTGTCTCCCTTCCCCTTTGTCTTGCAGCTGGGAAAATTTACTTCCATAATTTTTCAAGCCCTCTCTTTTCTCATTTCCATTACCCATCCACAAGTATGAAGTAAAAAGAGATTGTATTCCTAAAAAAGAGATTATAAAATTAACGTCAGCAAATGGAATCTCTTTCTCCTCTCTGCTTCCCATACTAGTTGCCATTATCATCCAATTCAATTCAATTCAATTCAATTCAATTCAGTTCAGTTCAGTTCAGTTCAGTTCAGTTCAATTCGAAGTTGCTTGAAAGCCTGTTCAAAGTGCAAGGCATGTGTCAGAGAAATTTTTAAAAAACAGGTAGTACAGTAAAAAAAAAAAATTGTGTTTCCTTCCAGAGTACCCTGGACCTATGGCCACTTCAAATGTCTTCCTACTGTTAGGTCTCAGTGAAATGTTTGCTTCAGGACAAAGCCCAGAGCTGAAGGGTGCTCTGGAGGGTTGCATGGGGTATAGGAGGGCCGACATCACTGCCATCCTTGGGCATCACCTCATTCTCAGAATTGGGCATGTTTCTTTCTTTCTTTCTTTTTTCTTTCCTTTCCACCTGCCTTTTGGCCTGTGCCCATCTAGATTGGGGTAGCACAGCAGCCACAAAGCTTGGAGTTGCTCTGGGACCTACAGCTTCTCTGATACTCTGATACTCTGATACCAAAGTGCCACTTTGATTCCATTTCTTTTCTTTTTTTTTTAAGAATTTTTTAATGAGTTTATTTGAGCCAAAACTGTCGACAATTGCTGGGAAGCAAAACCTCAACGGATTGAGATAATGCTCCGAAGAATGGCGGGTTACATTTCTCTATTTATACACTGAAATCAAAGGAGGGACATAGGTGAGTTACATGAAATTCATTGGTGATGGAGTAAGGAGGCGGGAGAAAGCAAAGCGGTGGGAAACTCCTGGGATTGGATAAAAAGTAAAATGATGGATGTATACTCAGGTGAGTGCAGGAACAATTAACATGATAAAGAAGGAATTTGAGGCATCTGTCCTGGTGCCCACCACATTTGGTTGTTCCCCAGGGGTGATTCCATTTCTTAACCCCTGGGATTTGTAAAGGAAAGGAGGAAGGCACAGATCTTTGTTCTCTGAGTTACCAGTTCCTTCCTTCTGAGAAGGGGGTGTCTGTGGTTAGTGTGGGGGTTACCTCTACCTGCCAACCTTCTTGGCCTTCCTTCTTTTGCCAGTTCCTCTCAGTCTTACCCTTGTTGCACCTTACTCTCCCAGAGTGGCAAGCATTTTCAAGTAGACAAACAGGCCTCATCATGGTCCACCCACTGGGAATCCTGGCCCACTGCATCTTCCCCAAGGGGTGGGAAAGAAAGCAGCAAGAACATGGCCATTCCACGCTCGTCTGTACCAGCCTTCCACTAGTCTCTACATCTCTTCTGCTCTTTAGAGCAGTCCCAAGAGTCAAAATTCTAAACCATTTTTTTTCCTGGCAGTTGCCAAAGTTACTTTCAGTGGTACGTGCAGGACTCTGGGTCATTGGCAATGCTTGGAAGATAAGAACCAGGAGGATATCATTTGGGGGTGTGAGGCCAGCAGACAAGGGCCTATGAAGAGGCCAGGGACTCTGAGGTGGTGCACCTGGCTCCACTGTGGGCTCCACTATAGAATGCACCTTTGAAGTGGTGCAGGTTCCTGGGGAACAAAACCACAGTAATAATGCTAGCCTTTTCAGGCACTCAGCTCCTGGGCCATGATGGGTAAGCATTATGAGCCTCCCCAGATTCTCACATTGTGTGCCTGAGGCCCTCATGTACCTCACAGAAGAGCTATTCACCACGGGCTCATTTAAGGTAGCTCCTTGATCCTCTGCTGTGGGACACCCTATGACTTGTGAAGAGGGCTCTGCAATTGCAAAGGACCCCTGACTCTTCAGCCACAAACACCTCACCCCACCTGAGGCTTCCTGGATGAAGAGAAGGCAGCCTACCTGGCAGCAGTGGCAGAAGAGGGCAGGGGACACACCACTCCCAGAACAGAAAGTAGAGAAACAAGGCAAACTTCTCTCTGGGCAGGGCCCCCAGGCCATGGGAACGGGGCCAGGGAACTCAAAGAAGTTCTGGGAGGGGTTAAGGAAGGCCTCTCAGCCAGTTTAAGAATTGCTGACAAGGAATATACACACCTTATCAGGAAGAAAGAGAAGTACGGAAGTACACACACATTTATGCAAACACCCTCTCAGCCTTTTGCAAATTCTAATTCACAGAGATAGGCAAGCAGAAGGGCATAATTCACTCCTTCTTTCCCCCCTCTCTCTTCCTCTTTCCTCCCTCCCTCCCTCCTCTCCCTCTCCTGTTGCCAGCTTCCCCATGATCTGAAAGGGGTAGTAAAGCAACAAGCATGGCAAGATTGCAAAGCAGGACACTCTAGACAAGCCTATAATTATCAAAAGCCATGGCTTCTGCTCTCTGAGGTCCAGAGCTGCCTGTGTGCTGTGCAGGAGTCACAGGTGACAGGGTCTTAAGGGAAGCATCAAGTGGCAGTCAGGCGGATACAAGAAGAACCAACTTGTAGCCTTAAACTATATACCAGAAACATAAGCCCTGGTGCTGCCAGGTTCATAGTTTTCAAAGATGTCTATCGTACAATAAAATGAAGGAGAAATAAAAGTAAGTACCATTTGTGCACAATGAAGCAGGTGAAGAGCTAAGAAATGATTCCCACAGACCCCTTGTGAGGACTACTAACTTGAGTCAGTCCGTAGATGCCATATGTGACTGGCTACCTGAGAAGTGTGATTTGAAGGGCACCGTGATAAATTCCTCTTAGTCCAAGCTGTCTTCCCGGCCTGACGATGACAGTGCCTACAAACATTACCATCCAAGATTCTAATGGAGTTCTTTACACTTTGAGGAATTAGAAAAAAAATTTCCAATGCAAAAAACCCTGGGAAAGTGCCACATTCTGCCACTATTATTTACAAACACTTAAGTATGAATTAAATTATCATATTACTTTCAAGAGTGATCAGTGGCCAATCAGGATTACAAAATGACTGGACTGTGTGGAGGGAAAGACATGGGTTTCTTAACATTAAGATTGACCAGTAGAGCTTGTGGAAAATACAGATGTCCTGGGCTCCAACCCTAGAAATTTTGGTGGAATAAGTCGGTGGCTAGGGAAGGGTATTTTTAGATTATATGGATGCAGCTCTTCTGGTCTCAGCCCATGGAACTGCTTTTGGGAACCACTGGTCTAAAGGTGAGAATCACCAAGACCCACTTTGCATAACGCCCCATGATAGGGTTCAGCATATCCTCGGCCTAATATCTGTTCAGCCCTCTCTTTTCCTATCACTCCTGAAAACTTGATCAGAACATGAATGAGAACTGCTTTTAGTAGGAAAATCCAAAGCTGCTCTGATTTATAAATCAGTCTTTAGCAATATTTGCCTCTCTGTTATGAGGAACAGATTGCTTTCTAAGATATTTCACAGCTGTTGATTGGAATTCTTAGCCTGAGAGGCTGGGGACATGGGGGCAGACATCACAGGGAGGGTATAATAGAAAGAAGAACCCAGGTACAGAGAGAGAACAGGGATGGGGTTGATTTTTCTCCAACTGCACAGTTTGGTCAGTTAATC